CCAGCTTTTTTTCACGGCACGCACGGCACCCGCTGCACTCACAGGCACTCCACGGCACTTTCACGGCACGATTTTCGCTGGATTTCCGCCGATTTCACCGCTTTTCACCGGTTCCACTGCACCTGCCACGTGGCACGCACTGCACCCGCGCATGAAACCCACTTTTCACTGCACGCACGGCACTCACAGACACTCCACGGCACTCCCACAGCACTTTCACGGCACTGCACGGCACAATTTCACCGAATTTTGCACGTTTTTCACGATTTTTGCACCACCACCGGCACGTGCGTCGTAGCGTCGGTCCGCCATCTTGGAAAAGGCCGATTCACGCTACCGCATCCCGGATTTCGGTTGGCACCACTTGCCTGCTGCGCACTTCCGGTTCGGGGATTAGTTTGGCAGACCTTCAGCGACTCGTTGTCCATTAAGTTGGTAGTTCTGCGCTTACTGAGGCACGGCCATCTTGGTTACCATTGCTCAATGACTGATTATTCTTTGCAAGATTACATTCGTTTACACTTTTCGACTCGCTTTTCTACAGCTACAGCCGTCTCGCTTCGCGTTGCTGCGTCTCTCATAACTGTTGCGAATATTCCACTGCTTCGGTCAAGCGCCTTTAGGTTGGCAGTTCTGAAATGTTGTCGAGGACCGATTTTTCAGGTTGGCAGTCCTTCTCTACCGCTGTAGCCATCATGTTGGCAGTGCTGCGGTTACTAATGAACGACCATCTACATCGCATTTCCTCCGTGACTCTACGGGGTTGGCACCATTGCATCAGTGCTAAGCGACGTTCGGGTTGGCAGTGCTGAAGTAGCGTTCACATCTGGACCACTAATAATGTTGGCAATCCTTCACTGCCTCGATGCCCATCGTGGTGACAATTTTCCCGACCATTTCGCTTCCCGCTGCTCACTGACTAACTCGTTGAAGTTTTCAATGCTGCCAAATGTCGCACCACACTTATATTGGCAATCCTTCGCTCGCGCAATTTCCATCAGACTGGCGCTCTTGAGTTGCTGCTTGCTGGCGCACAGCCGTCTAGAATGCCGATATTCTGTGACTCAATGTGGTTGGCAGTACTTGGGTGGCGATTATTTTCTGTTCGTCAATTACGTTGGCAGTCTTTCCTTGTTGCAATTAGCATACAGTTGGCATTTCTGCAGGGAGGCGTGTTGACCATCTTCGTTCCAGGTGCTCTCGTACTCACTGAGGTTGGCTATTTTGAATCACGTCAATGTATCTTTCAGGTTGGCAGTGCTCGATACCTTTACTCTTTGATGTTGGCACCACCGAAACACCCGTTCACGCCGTTGCGGCCAAAGCGCCAAAGCGCGGACCATGGTGAGCCGCCGAGGTTTCTTTCACATTGGTGCCTTTACCCGTTCACATTGATGTGCATACCTATTCACATTGATGCCTATACCCGTTCACATGATTGCCTCTACCTATTCACATTGTTTCCTCTGTCCCGTTCACATTGATGTCTATGCCGATTCACATTTCCTTCGTTTCGTTAAAATACCGCTAAATCGATTTCTTTTCTTCTTTTTTGTCGCTTTTTATTCGTTTTCTTTGATTTTCAGAGTCTTTTCGGAATTTCCTTGGCTTCTTTGAGGTCTTTTCGAATTTTCTTCGCATTTCTTGTTTTAGAAGTTGGCTATTCCTAAACGCGGCATATTATCTCGCAGGTTAGCAGCGTCGAATTCTTTTAGTTTTCGAAGTTGGCAGCAGCGAAACACACGTTCACATCGATGCGTTCGGGGCGCGGACCAATGAGGGACGCCGAGGCGCCGTTCAAATTGGTGCCTTTACCCGTTCACATTGTTGCGTATGCCTGTTTACATTGATGCTTGTACCACTTCACAGTAATGCCCGTGCCCGTTCATATCGATGCCTATTCTTTTCTTTGTTTTCTTTGCTTTTTAGAGGCTTTTTCGAATTTTCTCCGCACTTTTTATTAAATAACGAAAAGCGCGAAAAAAAAGAGAAATCCAAGAAAAAGAAGATAGGAATTGGTTATGCGCTATTATAACGGAACGATGGCGAACAGGTAGATGCGCTAGTTGCCGATGCCCGACCGTCTCGAATCGAGTTGCTCCGTGACTCGGTCGACGTCCAATTCCTTCGCTCTTCGAAGTTGGCACTGCTGCGTTAATGCCTCATGACCATCTTGAAGCTAGCTGCTCTACGACTATTTCGTGTTGGCTCTATTGCATTCCTTTACATTTTCAAGTTGGCATTCTTACACCGCGACCCATCTAGCTCTAATGTAATCTATGACTCGTCGAGGTTGGCTATTCTGACAAACACTTTTGCGCCTTGCGTATCTTATGGTCCATAGTCCATGCTTTGTTACATCGAAATTTAGAATGACATGAAGCAATGAGTTTAACGCGGGTATTTAATGTTAAATATATTGATACGTTGGGTTTTATTTTACGTGTTGACTACGGTATGCGGTGTAACCTGTTTATTACGCATCATCGTCGCAACGTGAGTATATTTCTTTACGCGAGTAATCGTTACGTTTCCTTTCGCCGGTGTTGTACATTTTCTGATTACCACCAGGTACAATTGTCCACTAAACACGTTAGTGTCAACGCTTCGTTTACTCTACTTCTGGATTATACATGTTTCGTCGTTTCTCCTACGGTCGTAGGCTCTACGTGTTCCTAATCGATTTCGTTCTTTTTTGCTACGTAATACACGTGTGATACGTTTCGTTTACATTTACGCGACTCGATCGACATCGTGTGTGCCTTTGCTAACTCGAGTAAGCGTCACTGTCTCTCGTCCCAGTTACGCGTGGTTTTACTGTATCGCGATTCCCTCTTTAATATTTCGTGTACGCCGATTACTTGCAAACACAGTGTAAGTATCCGAATGGAACCTACTTCGTCGTTAAAACAAACGAACGTTTCTCGATACAATTGTCATAGATGCGTGACCGTTTACTTATTTCCGTTTCTTTCTCCTTTTTTTTTTTTTATACAAAATGGTATATATTCTACCAAAATTCCTTAATTCTTTTAGTATCCAGGATGCAAATAGAGCGCAACAAGCAGACAAAGAGGTATTTGTGCACAATTTCAAATTTCGGCACGTCAAAAACGAAAATTCATACTTTTTCCGAATTGCGAGCTTATTTTTGAAAACTCTTTGTATCGTAATTAGTAATATTATTTTAACAAAAACTATTTTTATAAATGCGTGTATCGTAGATAAATATAAATTGTTTTCTGAATATTGCTGAACGCGTTTACGCGAAAATTCATTTCGTAATGAATTTTTCCCGCTTTTCGTTGCTTCTACTTTATACATGTATTAACCGACTTTAACGTTTACGTTACGTATACTAAAGCTTATGTTGATTAATCGAAAGTACTTTTTAATTTTTCCTACAGAGCGCGATTGAACATATAAGAATAAGCTTCGTCGCATATTTTTTTTTTTTTTTTTTGATTTCGATTCACCGCGATGTTTTAAAAATAACGATCGCAGTATACGAACATAACGTTTTCAAACTAAGTAACTGTAATAAAAAATTTATAGATACTTGCAATTTCTTTTTTTTCTCTTTGTGTAGCATGTTTTCGATCTACTAGACTCTAGTTCGCGAGACACGTGCAATCGTAATAATAATCAATGCCAAGGTCTCGAACTTTCTGCAGTTCGCTTTATACGCCACGTACTCTTCACCTATAGTTGGCTGATCGTCGCATCGTTTGCCGGAACAAATTCACCAGTTCGTCGAGGAATATCAACGTTACCGTCTTCGTTTTCCTTCATATTCCACACTTCCGAAAACAACAACGACTGAGAGGTAATGAACAAAAAGAAAAAATAAATCGTTACACGTTACACTTCGTTCTGCCTATGTTGCGTTGACTACATTTCCTGCTTTTTCTTTTCTAGCGACGAAACTTTCCGAGGATGTAGTTGCATGCGCTCGATTACGTACACGCCTAAACAGTCTTCTCCAAAGGGAAGTCCAAAGAAAAATTATCCACGTGATAAATGCAAACTTCGATTGCTATGATCGATAACGTACAGGTTCTACAGACGTTAACGATTTACACCAGCGACGTGACCAGCGTCGATTTTGCTGGCGATTGCTTGTTGGTTACCGGATCAGGGTAAGATGCCCCAATTATACGAACTGACATTACGCGGACATTCTATGCGAATTCACTCTACCTTCGTTCCTAGCGACAAACGAGTCAGGGTTTGGCAATGGCGAATAGGCGAAGGATACGTTGAAGCCTTCTTTTCTCCCTTGCAAGGGCATAAATATGGAGTCACTTCCGTTAAAGTTAGTCCTCGCTCGACGATGTTAGCCTCGGCCAGCATCGACGGTACTACGTTGTTATGGAATTTACGGGTACGTTGTGCTTACCCCGAATCGAAAACGATGCGAGGTAATAGAAAGATGTATAATTAACCTTCTCGTGTTTCCGGAATGTTCGTAGACGGGATCCAAGATTCACACTATGGTTCAAGTAGGCGGCGAAGCGGTAAGAGTTTGTAGATTTTCACCGGATTCCACTTTGCTCGCCACTGCCGGGGATAACGGACAGGTTTGCCTTTGGGATTTGATACGACGTACTTTGATCAGGTACCCGCTTTATCCTCTCAAAAAAAAAAATCTTAAATACCTTACAACGATCACGAGTTCTATTCAGGTCTTTTCAAAAACACGATGGCGCTATACAGAGTCTATGTTTTTCACCCGATTCCAACTGGTTGATTACGACTTGTACCTTTGCTGTTCTCAAATTATTTTGCACCGCTGATCTTATCGATTCGTGTCTTCCTGACACTGCAGCGTTCGCTTCGGTGAACGATGCCCACGATTTAGGCGTCGTCTCTTGCGATTTTTCACCTTCTCAACGAATAACAAGTAAGTAAAGTTACCCTCGTAAAACACCATCACGACAACGGTGTATATTTTTCGCGCGATCCTCCTTCTTTCTAATCTCTTCCTACCCGCAGATAACGAACCGTTCACGAAATTGTATCACTTGGTTACTTGTGGCAACGATCATTGCGTTAAACTTTGGCAAATAAGCGTCGTACAAACGAAATGCGAAGCTCGACCGTTCGTCGCGACGATCGATCTATGCAGAACGATGGAGAAACATAGTAGCGCCTTAACCTGTGTTCGTTTTAGCGCCAACGGATTATACGTCGCTAGCAGTGGTCTCGACAAAACTGCGGTAATTTGGGAAACGGTACGACAAACGAAATAACGTGCGAAGAAACGATTACTTTTACAATTATTTCCTTTCTTAGAGTTCCGGAAAGGTAGTCGCGATAACGTCGGAACACAGAAGATACGTAGCGTGTTGTGCCTTCTCCAAAGATGGAAATTTACTGGCTACGGGTATGATTTTTATATCCTTTCTAACGCGACTGTCCTATCGTTGCGTTTTAACGTTACAGGTTCCAACGACAAATCTGTTATCGTGTGGGATCTTACGGGAAATTTGACCTTCGATTCGGAACTTGCGCGACATTCGGCGCCGGTACTTTTTTCCGACAATAACGAGCAGGTTCGATTCGTTCGCGTTCAAACCCTTACTTTCGAACGCTAGATAATCCTTTGTATTTTCCTAGAATGCCGACTACGAGCAAAGCGTAATGAAAAACGCGGAAACGTCGATTAACGATGTACGATTGATTAAAAAACTCGACGAACATGCTGGAGCTGTGAATAGCGTCGCTTTATATGGAAATCGATTGATCGCTTCTGGATCGGGGTTAGTCCTAATCCTATCTGTCTCTATAGTCATGCGTATATGTATATATGTGTGTACACATATATATGTATATATATATATATATCTCCTCTCTCTATATACATGTATTTATTTATATATATATATATATATATACATAGTTACGATAATTTAGGGACAAGTTAGTACGCGTTTGGAACATTGAAATCGAAGAAGAAGATTCTGAAATTAGCATGAAATTCCATGAAAAGTCGTATAGTCCGCTGGATGGTCATAAATATAGCATAAATCACGTGGAATTTAGTCCTTGTGGTAATATGCTCGCTTCTTGCTCTTTAGACGGCACAGCCATTATCTGGAGTACCGAGGTAATACATACCGTTTCAGCCGGTTCGTTCGAACAGTTTTACCACAAAATAATTCACTGATACCTTCCCGTTATTCCATCGATTAACGCGCGATTATCCAATAGAGTAGCGATTCGATCGATTGATCCACTATTTTTCTTCCAATGCGTGTCTTTGCATACCTACCATGCATACGTGTGTTGCACTTGAGTTTGTATGCGATTCGAAAGATTGATGCTCGCTGGAAAAGCATTATGGAACATACATCGATCGATCTTCTTCGATTACTATGTCGTAGAACGGATGTCAAGCGAAATCTTCTTTCGTAAATTCTGGATCCGGTATTCGTGTTTGTCGATGGTCACCAGATGGTACCAAAATTGCTACGGCTGGTGACGACGAGATGACAACGTTATGGGATATGAATACCATGGAGGAACTTCGGTACGTATTTTTCCTTCTTTAATATAATTCGTCTAACACGATCGAACTTGATAATATACTCGATTAAGTAAAATGATACGAATAAAACAATTTATCTTTTCTTCGTGTAATGTTGCTAACTGGTAATTCGTAACAAATGGAGCCACGGAAATGTTACATTCGTGTCGTCGTGTATAAAAATCAGGGACCTATTAAACGGACGATACTACAGCATTTTCAGGGGCCATTCCGATGCGGTGAATGCTATCGCTTTTACCCATGATTCTCGTTATTTGGTTACGGCGTGTAACGAAGGTACTTGGAGGTTGTTCGATGTCATTGACGAGAAGGGTTGCGCGGCATTGATGATCTGCGAAGGAGCGCATGATTTGGGTGTACAAGGATGTGATTTTAGTCCGACTTCCGATTTAATAACCATCGGTATGTTTCTCACCCGTACTACCTACCTACGTATATACCGCGTGTCTACTTAAATGTATTGGTTCGTGTTACAGGGAAGAAGGCAAATACGAGTAACGAGAACAAACGGTTTTATCTGTTAGCGACCGGCGGTAACGATTCCTTGGTAAAATTATGGCAAATAGCGATTTCCGACAGCAACGAGATTACGACGACAGGCAATGGGAGCGGTGACAGTGATTTACATTATCGAGAAGTAAAGTCGTTGGCCGGACACGGGGGTAATATAACTTGCGTGAGATTTTCTCCGGTTCAAAGTGAAATTTTAGGAAGTGTTGCTACCGATAGAACAGCTCGTATATGGAGCGTGGTAAATAAACAATTTCTTCTTCTACCCTTTCTTTCCAAAATAATCGACACAGAATGTACGTTATATGAGTTGTTACACGTATAATATCAATTATGTTATATGCAACGCGTGATTTTAGTACTCCGGAGCTTGTTTGCACGTATTAGAGGAGCACGAAAGCCTTGTAACTACCTGTGCCTTTTCGGAAGATACGTCCCTCTTTGTTACAGGTTTTGGTCACTCAATAATATACATATGGGTATTTCTGTTCTCTCGTTTTCTTTCTTCATTTTTTCGTTGGTAATTGGTTTTCTCTACTTTTAGGTGCTCTGGACAAAACTGTATTAATTTGGAAGATACCTCGACATTTGATCTCGCAAAATATTTTAATGGACAACTTAAAGTACAACAGAAAAAAGGTAAACTGTCGTACAAAGGGTAATATTTCTTCTCCTTTCAACGTTATACAACTATGGACGATCGTTAATTAATAGTGCTTTTAACGCGTAAGGTTGCAGATTGGAGCGTGAGCGATGTTTTAAAGTGGTTGAACGAAGTAGATTTATCGTCGTTAGCGAAAAAAGCCTACGCCGATTCTTTAACTGGACGGCAATTACTTATTTTGTCGGAAGATGAACTGACGAATAGATTACTCGTTGATCAAAATGAAAATGTACGTTTTCTCTAATCGATGACATTATCTGTAACGTTATACGATTATAATTGGAATAATAACTTTTAGATTATAGAAACGTTTAAGTCACAGCTCTACTGGTTGAAACGCGAAGAAGATGGTAATGTCGTTGAAATCTCGGCGGACGATACCGAAATACCTCATGAATTTTTGTGTCCTATCACCCACGAAATAATGAGAGAACCTGTTCGATGTTCCGGTGAGAATCGTTTAACAAAATTGTCGTCGCGAATATGAACCGCGATCGGTATATTTTTTTCTTTTGTCATTTTTATGCTACTTCAGACGGATTTACCTATGAAAAGGCAGCTATAAACGAATGGTTCTTATGCGGGAAATATACCAGTCCCATGACCAATGAATCTCTTCAGGATACTTCGTTTACGCCGAATATCGTGCTTAGAAATTTAATATATACTTTTCTTCATGGAAAACGACCACAACTTTAAAAGCATTTGCTCTTGTTGCGTGTATTGTACACCAATTTTTTTTTTATCCTAATATTTATTTACATTTTATCAATTTAATACCTGCTGCGTTTGCATTTGTCGTTGAATACGATAAAATCTTGGTTATCCGAGGGTTCGATGAAAATCGAACCTATCGCGAATAATAGAAGTTTTACGTACTAGCATTTAGTTAATAAGAAGTTATTCGCTCTTCGATGTTGGTAGAATTAAAATATCAATGTTACGTATATGATTTGAGAAACAACGATTATGACATAAATTTTAACAATAATACCATCGTGTAGTGTAAAGTTCAAAATACCTTGGATAATACGGGACTCGATCGATGGAGAATCGGACGATGGATACACCGCTACAGTTTTCTTCGAAATAATGTTGTTATATCTTTGACCTAATCTAATCAAGATTAATCGAGATTCCATCGTACACGAGAACAAATACGCGAATACAAACGCGCGTACACCTAACTTTTGCAAAGGGATCAAAATATTGTTACGTATATACGCACAAAGTTATAAAATATACATATAACGAATCTTAGCAATGTCACGACATTTACGGGTTGTTGAAACCTAACACGTGTGCAAAACGTGTAAATAGTATGTATTAACACAGCGTACACGTGTGATTGTAGAAAGATCGATTATTAAAGTTTCTTCAATTTTATAAAATCTTGTTACTGTTAATGAATCGAATAAATATTCGTTGAGGCAGTGTTAATGCATCTGCGAATCTCGTTTGATTATTCGTTCGTGTGCGTAAGACATAATTTTATCGCGTTCAAAATTATCGCGTCTTCGTGCGTTGTCGACTCTACCGTTGTAAACTCGGTGTATAAACTTTTCTCGTATTCGATGCGTTACAAAAACTGGACTTCAGTGTTTAATTGTTGCGTTCTTCGATAGATGGCACGGTAAACCACTGATTACGATCATAGAGTACGTAAAACATCGATGAACAGGTTACTTTCTTTTGCGGTCTATATAGATGAGCAGAATTTTTCCAATTTCTATACTGTTTTGCTTATTTTCTTCGACTAATATATTGTTTCGAATAATTTCTGTCAAATTTTTGTTAAAACACGATCAATAAAATCGAAATTTTGCACAGTGCATTTGTCTATAATTTCGACGATCTAAATTTATGTTGGACATATTATAGGAAACGGATGACTACGTCGGATCTTTTTACAGGATCGAGTCGAAAAACTTGGTGCGGTCAAAACGTTTGATGTCGTTTGCGAGTGCACGCACTTATTGACATACATACGCATAGTGTAGAAAGGTGGACAGAAATTTTGTACGTACGTGGCACGATAGGTAAGCGGGATGGTAAGTATTTTTTAATATATTCATTTTTTTCTATTATTTTCCTGTTAGTAACGTAAGGAAACAGAGGATAACGACAAGTGGTAATGGACGTATACTTTCAGGCATCTTACTCGGAGGATCAATTGGCAGGTAAGTGAACGTAAATGATATCTTCGATGTCGAACAGGTCAGATTAAAGAGGGGCGGACAGTTTTCTTGCTGCTTAATTCGGGTCAAGAATATCGTTACCTTATTAGACTTACGTTGGTCACACCGACTCGTGTACTCGGCGATTGCCTTTTATGGTTAGGCTCTACGCTATAAAGAAACACTAACGGAAAAGCAAAAACGAAGACAAGGAGTGTAGGGTATCGTATTCGTAATATCGATGAAACTTTGAGCCGTGTAAATATATGCAACTGTGAATTTCGTTGACATTAGTTTCTACGTATTTTTCAATTTGTCTTTCTTAATTATTTATTTTAATTAATAGTAACTGGTTTATACCGAGTGTTGTGTGTAAAATGTATAGCTGTAGTTATAGAGAATTAACTAACAGAATGATGTCATCGATGGAAGGTAAAGAATGCTTGCTTCGAAGATGGAATATCTTCGAATTGGCATTGAAAATGTATTTGAACTCGGTTTTTATATTTTCTCTGCGTGTAAAAACGATGATATTTCTTATTATAGAATTTCAGGAAGCGTTCCAACTTTTTGACAGTCGTGGAGATGGAAAAATTCATGTGGCACAAATTGGAGACGCGCTACGTGCTCTTGGACAAAATCCGACAGAATCGGATGTAAAGAAGTTTACACATCAGCATAAACCTGATGAACGTATTAGTTTCGAAGTGTTTCTTCCTATCTATCAAGCTATAAGCAAATCTCGTACTTCCGACACCGCTGATGACTTTATAGAAGGCTTACGTCATTTCGATAAGGATGGGAATGGTTTTATCTCCTCTGCCGAATTGAGACATTTGTTGACGACGTTAGGTACGATCGAATAAGCAATTTATTTTTTCTGTTATTTAAAATATATTTAACGAAGCATGAATATATTTATTTATCGCGTATTATATCATCTTTCAGGCGAGAAACTCAGTGACGAAGAAGTCGAAACGCTGTTAGCTGGTCACGAAGATTCGCAGGGTAATATCAATTACGAAGACTTTGTTCGTCAAGTGATGTGCGGTTGAATTTCTATACGAACGTACGAAATTTATATTAATCGTAAAGAATGCATAAGTATTTAATTTTTTCTAGTATCTTTGTAACGTATAATTTTTTTCCTTTTATTATTTTTTCTAACGTTACTTATAGCGAACGAAATCACGATGATAAACGTATAAGTTAAAAGTAAAGCGGAATTTAAAAGAAAGAGAGACGTTCGAAGATCTTGCAAATTTTCCAGCTTAAACATTCCATATTATATTATTTGTGTATGATTTTTAGGAATTTTTAGTTATTTCTTTATTCAAAATATATAATGAGAATATTCATCGGGTACTTTTTACGACGGTGTGAGAAAAGAACAGAAATAGCATTGTGTATAACGCGAATGAAATAAAACTTGTTGAATATAAAATATATAGTTTAAGATTATTTAAATGTTCCTTCGTCGTATAATTTCTCGATGTGCCAATGAATCGACGTAAAACGATCGTTTCGGTTCAAAAAGTGGAAATACGGAAGATTTGTATTTTAAAAATATCGGTATTCATCGAAATTTTCATTTCGTGTTATTAACGTTAATTCGCTCTCCGTTAAATATGGGTTAACGTTAAAATTTTTACAATAATTTATACGGTAAAAAACGTGTACACGTTACTAACGCTTGCGTGCGTATTCATAAGTATCATATCGCATTGGAGTATCGAATGGAAAGAATAGTGAAAACGATACGTACGCGTATATAATCGATTCGAACGAAATCGAAATATATCGAATCGAAACGAACCGAGTCGATTCGATAACGAGGAACACTCCAGTGTCGTTTCGGTCGCCCGAGTGGGACGGTTGTCTTCGGTGTTGCTGATTCTACGATTATTCTTATCGTATAGCAATCGCTGATCTAGCGAGTATTTCGTTGTGGAGAAGGAAAATTACGGCCGTCAAAATTTTACGAAGAAAGAAGTATGAGTATTAATTCCAGTCTCTCGTTAAGTAATTGCGAAAGTAGTAAAAAGGGCATAATAATGCCAAGTTTAATATCGAGCAATTGGTGAGTATCATACGATTATTGCGCCATTTTTGCCTTTGATTCGTCATCGCCATTTTGAATTCTATTTATCGGTTCCCTTTACTGTTTTCCTGCGTCGTGAAAATTGTTCTTACGAATCCTTTATACGGATATTGTTACCTCGAACACGATTAGTTTTCTTAACAAGTACATTTATTTTAATATTTTATAAATCGTACTCGTCTTTATAGTAACCATCGAAGGTCTACTATATTGCTTACCTTCTATATTCTATTACGTATATACATTTATGCATTTCAAATATTTTTCATTGTACTAATGAAAAGCAAACATTCGAACGAATATATGTCCTTTGTCGTTATAAATTGAAAATTGTATAAGATAACGAAGGTAGAAGAAGAATAATTTTGTTGATATATATACTAAGATGAATCGAATAAACGAAAATCTATTTAAAGTACGAAAAGGAGCATAAGATGACGATATCGTATACGTTAGTAGAAGAGAACGATAATCTGTGATATGCATAGATGTATATGTATGTATTTTGCGTGTGTATATGTATATTTGCCACGTGAATCGTGTGACGTAAAGGCAACGCAGACGCGTTAGTACATATAGCCGTACATCAGCTGTTCCGTATTGTACGTGAACGAATGTACGAGATATTAGAATTATATGCGTAATATTGCGAATTTGATATTATTCCGTTAAATCGCTTACTCGTTTAAAAAAATATGGAAAATTTTTCTTACGATCGATTCGTTATTTCTTGCTTCTTTTTACATCCTTGGCTTGGATGTATATAAACTCGTACAAATTGTTACGATACGCACGCGTACATGCGTGTACCATGCAAACGCTGAATGCACGTATTTACGAAGAATAATCGCGTAAATTACTTAGATAACAGCCGTTGCGATCGTGTACGCTAAGGCGATGCATATTTTAGCGTGTTAGAGCAAGAGGAAAACGCGATAGCGATATAGATAACTTTATTTGCCGATATATGGTTTTATCTTTCGTATCTGTTTGTCGATTACCAGCTAAGTGTTTTTATTTCGCAAATATATATGGATACGTAGATAAACTCATCCTTAATTATTCGCGTACGTACGTATTGTAATATGCGCAACAAACATTATCGATACGGTTCGTGACGGTTAATTGCCACATTTTTTTTTCTTTTTTATTTTTATTAACTTACTAAAAATAAACGTGAAATTTCGTTATATTCTTTCATTTTTTATATTTAAATTTAAATTATCGATATAATTTTTTCGCTCGCACTTTATCGTTGAACGTATATAATTACAGCGAAATGTCGAGTAAATGTATGGAGGAGAGTTTGGAAGAAGGGAGTAGACTTCAACAACATTATTGTATAACACTGGGTGTGGGGCCTCTGTGGTGGTCCTGATGTGCCCCATGCCGCATTGTCTGTATCTACAGTCAACACAGAGAGCCGCGGCGTGGGGATCAAGCAGAGTCAGCTCTCTGTGAGCTCCCACATTGTACAAGTAAAGTATCTTTCCGTTTTTACGATTTACGCTCCGTTCGATATGGTAAAATTATCCCCTTTTATATAATTTTCAATAAATTTTTAGGAGGATGAATTATTAAAAGCTGTGCGAAATAGCGAATCGTTGCGCCTGACCTTCACTCTTCATTTAACGGAAAGCACATCTGTCGAGTGGGAAACGGTAGTATGGCGACGATGTCTATACATTCGCGTACCAAGTTGTCTTTTACCCGAAGGATCGAAAGAAGGTTTCGTTTCGCTTCTGGAATACGCCGAAGAAACGCTACGATGTACCAATATTATTGTTTGTCTGCGTAAGGATAGAACAGATCGAGGTACTTGTCGTCGACCGTTTTTTCATTCGAATGAAAATGATCGCGACGAAAAGAACTTGTCGTCTAAATCACTCTGTTGTTATGGTTTAGCAATGCTGGTTCGTACCTTCATGTTTTTGGGTTTCGCTGCTCTACCGCCGACTCACGTCCTGGTTCCACCAGGCAGTGATGCTGGCAATCTCTACATGCTCTATGCCATCGAGTAATCGACCAACAGCTTGGCTTCTCTCTCAAATTTAACGCACAGGTATTGTTTATATTTCGCGGAATTTTTGCGTAATTTTATATAATTTTCGTTTTCTTCTTCTTCTTTCTATCTCTCTCTTCCCCTCCCCTCCCTACAACCTTTCTCACTTTTATTACATTCGAATAATTTATTTGTTCATTTTTTCTGTTTCTCATATTACAGGAACGAATGTCGAACGAACTTCTTGTATACTTTAGGAAGGATATAATGCAGCAAGCTTTCTCGTTTTACTTTTCTCGTATTTTTTACTTTTCATTCATCGGACTTGATACTTTGTTTCTAATTACGAGCATGCTGAATCTATCATCGAAGTTCCGAGCATCGATGATGATCCTAACATTGATTCGTGTATTAAAATTGTGATTACTTACAAACGTGCAGGATAGGGTTCCAAAATAATACTTTCGATGTCGTATGTCGTACACCGTAGCGTTAAATTTAAGAGAAATGCAGTAATACGTAAATTTATATATACGCGTACTTATATACCTATACGTGAATATGAATATGTATGGGACGAAGAGGAGACAGGCAAGAAAGAAGGAAAAAATTAGTAGTCGAATATTTGTAGGTCACGCGCGAACAGATTAATCGATGAATATACCGATTCATTCTCTTGGATACAATGATAATAACTTTGTTAAGAGCATGTAAACTGCTGACGAAGCTTCCCACGCAAAAAATTTGACGGGATCGAAGTTTAAATTTTACATGAAACGACGAGCCGTCAAATTATAGAAGAAATTTATTATCAATAAATCTCAATGTTAATTGTGGCAGATTAAGTATTACCGCGTCTTATTTTATATTATTACATATTTTTTTATCGTCTGTGAGTATTACTATCGATATCGATAATACATTGTATATCTGTATACGTACGAATATTGTGTGAGCGCTTGCGCGCACATATACACTTACGCGAAGACGGTCACGGAGGAAGTCGGCAATGGCGCGATAAGAAGGAAAGGAGATTACGATACGCGGCCAGTGTAAATTAATTCGTTTTATTCCAAGTTTTTTTCTTTCTTGAAACGACTAAGTACTCGAGTTTGCAGTACTTTTAATAATTTCCGAAAATAAGGTTGAAATATGAGAAATAATTTCTAAATGGTACTTTTCACGTTTGATTCGGTATAATGTATTCGCCTGCTTTTAACGAAATATTTAAATATAAGTATTACGAAGTATTTTGTCGTTCTAAAGGAGCATCGTTCTCAAATATTTCGAGATTAAACGAAAGAAAGTGACAATTATTTGTCGTTAACGGTTATAAATAATTTAATTTCCATTTGTATCGTGCGTAATGCACGTAAACGTTTGATCGAGATACGTATATATCGTTCACTGGCGGCCGATCGTTGTATTCGTTATTACGTTAATTTTTCTTTATTATATTTAGATTTAAGCAACAATAGTGATCGATGATAGCAAACTTAGTTATAACGGTGGTGATGACGATCTTCGGTAATTCCTGATCAATTAACATTGTAGAGATTTTGCTAATAAATACGTTCTTTAGTGTTGACTCGATAACAGGCGGTATTAAATGATTATAAAAGGAAGAAAAAAAAAAAAAAGAAAAAAAAAAGGGAAAAATTAAAATATCGCAAGAAAATAAAAAATATGTTAATAGCTTATTAGAAATATAGGTAAGTACAAAGCAATACGCTATTATCTCTTAATGAAAATAGTTTTAAATTCATCCGAATCTTTTCGATTATTGAAAAACGATTCTGCAGCGTTTTATTTTGTTTGTTAATATTATTATGTCGTGTATACATATATATGTATGTTTGTATGTATGTATATATGTATATTCGTACATTTGACCACATAAGAATATATGTATGCAACATTTATTATTGAAATTACAAAAGAAATATACATACTTGCTAAATAAAAGTTTAAAAAAGAAGTAAATGGGTTTATAACCTGTATGTACCTGTTTGTATACGTGTCCTATAAGAAAAACATTTCTTCGCCTATAGAATTCTCTCGAAAGTTGATCGTATCTTATAGTCGAAGATTATACGTTTCGAGTACGTTTCTCTGATGATTTGCGCCGTGAAGTCCTAAAAATTAGTAGAGATAACGACAGGCAAACTTGGAAGCAGAATCTTGGTCAACTTTCGACTCGATTCTAATATTGCGGGGTATAAAAATACTTAATTTTTAAGCGGTATATTGTTCGTGTAACGATTTATTGTTATTTCGTACGAAGATACAACTGAACAAGTGATGTAAAATGCGATACGTTCTCGACGCGTGTCGAACGAAAATGGTTAATAATCATTATAACAGCGAGTTTGAACGGTATACGCGTTGCAATGACCGCGTATTTCGTAAAAAATTTAAATAATTCGTTTATATAAATTTGAATATCGAATCGCTTGAAACCGACGTCGTTCGGGGAATATTAAACTCATAAGGGGTAAATTGCAATTTGTGGGACAAAAGCGAACGATTTTTCACGATGAAAACGGAAGAAAAAATGCACGAACGCGCGATACAAACGGTCAATTCGATCGATTCTTTGCTAATATTGTCTTCTATGTATATATGCACGTATGCGTATTGCGCTCGATCCTCAGCACAGATATACCATATTCTGTATGGTAAAGACATTTTTTCCGTTTCCTTTATCTTTGTACGAACGTTTAAATTTACCGTTTGTTTTTATTTTTCTTTTCTATTTGTTCGATTCGTTCAAGCGTACTAATTCGCTCTGTTGACTTCAGAATTCGTTCGATAACTTTCGTTATAAACGAAGAGATCGAAGAAGGATTAAAATTTGTGCCAATGCAGTTGACCGCGTCTATTAATGCGAATTAGTCCTTTTATTGCTACCGTCTGGATCGAATTCGTCCGACGTATTCCTTGGAACTAAGCCTAAACTGTTCAACATGCCAGGCGGTGCGGTATCCTCGAGCGGATAAGCAGATATTTTTTCGCACTTCATCAAATGCGTAGCTAATTGGTTTCCATCGGTTGTCACGTAACCGCACGAACATTGCATCTTTCTGTCTAACGGAATATTAACGAGGGGCGAAGGAACTACCAAACTGGTCATCGGTCGTTCGTTATGAATTTGTTGTTGATGTTCTCGGAACGCGCGCCAACAACAAGTTATATATCGGCACTGCTGACATCTCTGTTCTCCCGGATAATGATCCGGTTCGTCTATGTCCTCCTCGCATTCCTGACAAGACAGATTCTCGAACGGAACGTTCACCGTAATCGGACCATCGATCCACTTTTCCGCTTTTTCGTCGTCCGGTAATTCGGTAATGGGACTATCGATATCGAATCGTCTATTTTGGGGCCGTTGTTTCGAGATCATTATACCGCTGTTGCTGCTCGAATACGGTATCACTTTTGAACCGGAGACACAATCGTGCAATTCTCTTTGATGAATTTTCAAGCGACTCTTCTGGTTAAACCAGAGACAACATCTTGAACATTTGTTTCCTCGTCCTTGTTCCCTTCGTATAACGTGCCTTTGCATGTGCGATAAAAACTCGTAAACGCTTGCGACGCTTGGATTACCTTCCTTTACGAACCGTATTACTTTCAAACAATAAGGACATTGCAAGTCCTCGCCTTTTTCGTGAACTCGATAAAAATGATCGATAGCGTCTTTGTGGCTGGATGTACGATAACCGCAAGTTTCGCATCGATACGGCATCTCCGAGGGATAATGCATCGACGACAAATGACTAATGAGGAGGCCGCTGTTTCCAAATTTTTGTTCGCAAATAGCGCAAACAACCATATCGCTATCCGAATGACCGAAATTGCTATGCGCTTCCGTGACGTGCGTAGTCATTTGATGTTGAGAGGAAAATGCTGTACAACAGTAGCGGCAAACAGGAGAATCGGATTGACCGGGTACTTGAGGTGGCACATGGCCGATCGTGTGCTCCATCACGTCTGTATTGGAACGCATCGTTGACGCGCAGAGGAAACACTTAAAATACAACGAATATTTGTGCTCGTTTAACAATAGACTCTTATCACCCTCCATGGTGGCATAATAAAATTCCTGCAACTGTATCTGATCATTCTTGTTGCCCTCGTTTTCTTTCTCTTTATCTTTACCGGTACCTTTCGAATCGAAAATCTGCTGTTTCTTTGATTCACGATCTGGGCTGATGGTTGCGATATTTCTCTTTCGTCCTCTTCTCGAACCGGTTCTTGTTGCTTGAGCAAAAGATAACGCCTCTTGTGGCTGTTTCGCGTTAACGGTGCTCTGAATAAAAATTTCGCTATTCGACTGTGTTTCGTCCGCGTTTAGCGTTATAAGTGGCGTTAACGGTGGTAAATTCACGTTCGTGTACGACCAATTCTGGAATGGATTCGCGGCTATTTTAGTCAACCGATCTAAAAGGCATTCGTTCGAATCGATTTTTGTTTGCTCAGCGATATGAGCGATAATGTTGTCGAATGCACGAGCAGCGGTCGTACCGTATAATTCTCTCCATACCAGCTCGTCTAGAAATTGTTGTATCATTTGTCTATTAAGTAAACTAAGCGTATTTTGAAACATTCGGGGAACAATTTTTCTTAAATACTCCATTATATGATAGTTGCTCATAAAATTTCGTGGAGTTTGATCGGAAAATGCAGATTGCGTAACGTGGTAAAAACCCATTTCTTCGAGCGTGTTTCTATCAACGGTGAAGTCTGTCATGATCTTTGAATCTGTATGCACCCATTCCTTCAACGGATGCAAAATGTTGTTGAACCGTTGTTTATACGATCTATCACCGTCTTGCACTGGATCGCACGCTCTTAACCTTAAGTCGAGTGTAGTATAATCTAGTACTCCAAGCACTTCGACTTTAACTTGACGCAAATTTCCATCCTGCGACGTTGTACCTAAACTAATTACGCCCACTTGTATTACCGAATTTTTCCCTCCCATTTTACGTGCTTTATCCCAAATCGCGGCTGTACAAACGCTACGTAAATGTGTATAAAAATTTTTTACGTATACGTTTGACACTTTCACCCAAGAAATAACATTTTGAACGTTCGTTTGGCATGCCCAGTGATAAATTAATTTTAACAAAACGGTAGGTGTATAAGTTGCTCCCTGAAATATTGAACCGGAAAAGACAGAAACGAAACGATCGGGACAACAACTTGAAATCCACACGTATCCTCCGGAATATGGAAATGTACCTTGATCACTGTACATTCCTAATTTCAATTTAGTTCTTTGATAACTATTGCTGTGTTGAGCACAATATTGTTCGGATTTCACTAATCCTTGCTGTATTAACCATTCAGCAAATTTTGTAGCCGAGAACATTAGTACACTCTTTACTTTCATGTCTGAAACAAATAGTAATAGTTTCTTAAAAACGCGAAAGGTGAGACAAAAGCGAATGATGACCGATAGTTTCGTATGTAATAAAATGAATACCTAAATCCGATCTTTCTTTTTGGGCTATCTGTGGCGCAATATCCTTCGTGCGAAGACTCGGTCTAGCTACAACAACCAAGGAAGGAAACGTTCTACCTCCGTTCATTTTATTAAAAGTTACTTCTCTTCCATCTGGATGATTCTTCTTCGATTCGTCGATTTGATCGCAAGCTAGGTTGCAAAGTAATTTGAATCAACGATAATTAACCTATTCGATAGGTACACTGTAGAAGATCGTGCATTAAACATTTGACATTTAATAGATAATACCAATGACTAATTTTGTAATAACGATAACTTTTAAAAGATAACTTTTAATCTCCTTCGTACCTGAACTTTTACTCCCGACCGCTATTCCACCGATGCTCGTGTGTTCGGTTGGTTTTGTAATGGTCAATCTGGTTGTTGCTTCCGTGCTCATGCTAACGGTCGTCGATGTTGGTGTCACCGCTGGCGCCATTTGTTGTTTGTTCACTGTCTTTATTCGAAGATTAGTAACACCTTGCGGACTTGTAGTTGCTGAAAAATGAAATGTAATTTCCACTTTTAACGTGTATATTTCAATCCAGAAACAAACGAGATATTGGACAATAATAGTTTTTAACTTACTTGGTGTAACAACGTGCGTTGAACATCCTAATTTTTGTCTTCCACGAGCAACTACCGTCGGCTGCGTAATAACAATTAAAATAGATAGTCGATTGAAAGAAAATAAACGTTAAATAAACATATATTTACACATAACATACTTCCTCTATTATATCGGGTTGTTGCACTTGAAGAACCTTCGTTCTGCGTCCAGACCGAGTATATTTATACTGAAGAAAATATCAACATTCTTACTACGGTACATATAATTTTCTCTGTCGAAAAGCATCCTTTCGATTGTTCTCACAAATTTTCGAAACCGTTACATATTTATTACAAATTTTTCGATGCATAATTTTGCGCACAGACGACCATTAATTTATAAAATCTTTATTTTGTTTAATTATCAATGAGACTAATCGATCTTACATGAACAATCTCCGCACTGGGTTTAAAAAATCGTTATGCTGTTTCTTCAGATTTTCTTTCATGATTCTTTTTGTTTCCTTTGTCAGTAATTACAGTATACATTTCAGTTCAGTTTTGTATAATTAACAAAAATGCTGAAGAATAAGAATTTCACATAAAAATTAAGACAGCGTTAACGTTAAATGTATTTTGAACTAAAAGTCGTTTGTGCGTGAAATACGCAATATGTATGTTTACGTATACGTGTGTATAGATTCACGGTAAAATAGTATATCACTGTGCAAGAATTCGTTAAAATTTGGAAGTTTCACGAACCTATCTCGTAAACAAAATAAGCTAATAGTAATAAAATATTGTACATTTTCTGTTTGGGAATGCGTTACGGTAGACATAGCTGTGACCGTGGATACGGATGTTGACCCTGGTGTTACTATTGGCGTGGATACAGAGCTCGATGGAACAGTTGATATCGTAGATCCTACAGATTTTTAATTATTACATACGCTGTTAGCTTTTATATAGATACGTGTATATATGTAGATACCTTGAGGTTGAGGTACAGATCCCAAAATGACTCCCATTCGAGAATCCACGACCAGCTGTATATTACCTTGAGAGCCGTTCGAGTTATTCAATACATTGAGTTTGATGGGTTGAGTTTTATTTTGGTTCTGTAAGCATGATCGATAATGTCAATAATTGCATCGCGTATATATTGTTCAGAATTTATGTAACACTCACTATGTTTACGATGGGTTGAGGATTATTTTTAACCACTGCTTGCGCAGGAGTTGGAGGCCTGGTATACGAGAAGATAGAAACTCTAAGTTGGCTAAAAGAGCAGCGATCGCGAAAAGATAACGTCAATGTAGAAAATAATACCTACAATGTATATTGATAACCGTTGACATTGCCTGCTTGACATACCAATTTACCTCCGTGATCTTTAACCAATTCTTCCAAAGTAGCAGCTACCTAAAACAATTTATAAATTATAATGCGAAAATTTATAAATTATAGTAAAACAAAGAAAACGGACTCTATCGTAGTTTTCCTTTAATTCCAGTCGTAACGTCAATTGAGCTTCGCTGAGTGGTTCCTCTGTACACTCCAAATTTAACGTCATATTAGATGGTCGACAGCTTGATGCCGAACGAGTAATTAATCGACTTTTCGGCATTTTTGTTGCGTTAAGAGTTATCGAAATGTCTAAAATGAAAAACATACATTTAATTGTATCAAACTACGAGAGTGCGCGTCGTTATGATACTAGTGGAAATAACGCGAACGGTATACTTAAAAAGTTTGAAAAGTGACAGAATTTTCATAAAAAAACTACTCGAGTGCTATAATTTTTGTTTCTTTTTGTACGGCTATCTACGTTTAATCTTACCGATCGTCTTAAAAGTAAACTAAACTGAACTATGATGGCGGAGCCGGTGACGCCACCATATCAAAACTAATAATGATAGCGTAGAACGGTTAATAATGCAGTTGGTGAAAGTACAATAACGAAATTAACATTATAACAATAATCACAGCAGCAACTACGGCACGACGATAAGAGAACGGAACAGTGACGAGAACGCTACCGATAAAAACAAGTTGAAAACGATATCGGCGTCCTCTATGACGAACAAATCATTACTGTTGGTAACCTTTATCGTGTAGTGTTCAATCGAATATAGCCAGATTAGGCACTTTATCGCAAATTGAGCTATTTTTAAGTTTAGTCCGAATATCGTTTTTTTTTTTTTTTTTCGACAAGACTTCAAAACGCAATTTGGACAATTTTTATTTTGTCCTATGTTAATTTTTTTCGATGGTTGGTAATTGATAATGGGGACATTCTAGTGCAAATCTGGTTATTCGGGGAAAATGGCAGTTTAGGGGAACAGATCCCTGCCACTCGTAATAACATCATCGGATTGGCACTTATCACGTCTAATTTACAAGTATTTTTGAATTCGAGAAATGATCAAATTTGCGCGAGTGCATGTTTAATTTTAAAAGAAAATTAAGTTTTATGGCACATATTATTATATTTCAGAAGAACTACATCAGATATTTATGGTCATAATGGAGACATCGAGGCGATTTAATACATCGAAAAGATATAGAGAACAATAACTTTTTATAGAGTAATTAATTGAAAAAGTTGAAAGCAGTTTGGAAGCACTATTTTTACACGTGTTTTAAAATTTACATTCTCATGAGCGCTGTCTAAAAATAACACCGTTGGCACCACCTACCGGTAAACCACGGAACTATCGAAACCAGTAATTCCGACTTTTCATAAAATATGGTATTCATATGTTTTGCTGGCACGCACAAAGTGTTCTACGGTCACGGCGATGTCAGAGAAATTTTTTTTATAGTTGGATCGAAGTGTTATATTCGCGAATTTGAAACGACTAGATTCTGTGAACGTTGAAATGGTCAGCCACCTGGCGGTAGGGAATGAGAACTAATATATTGATCTGTTCGATTAACCCGGCAATAAAATATCTTAAATAGTGATATTAAAATCGGTTTGGAATGTTTTATATGTGTTAGTAAAACGGAAACGATAAGTAAAGTTTAAAACTGTGTTAACAATTTGGTTCCAATAGTTCCCAGTTTCTATCGCTAGTCGGTAAAACATTCCTAATCGATGTATACGTTTCTTATCGATTATATCGGTTAAATAAATTTTTAACATTATGTATATACAGGATTAGTTATAAACGTTTATTTATAATTAATGCGAGTACAAAACATAGATTTGTAATGCGAAAGCAATAGACTGAATGGGCAATCGATTTACTCTAATGTAGACGATTTCTACGAATCTTGGTAAATCGTTGATTTAGGTAGGAAATTCGATTATTTGAATTATCCATAGAGCAGTTTGGCGGTTGCATTTCGTGAAAGTAAATCACTGGCCAATGGCGAGCAATATATTTTGGCGATTGACGATACAGCGAACGATTTTTCGATAAAAAATATGGATAATATGTTTCGCTACAAGGCCTCCATTGATCTTCGTTCATGCCCACGTAACACCTGTGAACGATTAAGGATCGTTGAAATATTTCGTGCATACGCACGCGCGCGCACACACAGTATATAAAATGTACCGGAGTATCCCGTAATTGGTGTCCGTAATTAGTTAAGGATTCGTTTTTGAATTATTAACAAATAATACCGACCAATAGAAGCGGGTAAAGAGTACGCGCCCAACCGCAACAACTTCTGTTACTCGTTCGTGGCTCGGAGACTAATTACAGGACAATCTGTATAAGTTGATAGATGAAGAGTATCGGTATCTACCAGGGATAATGATATCCTCGAGAAAATCCACATCGATGGTCAGGTTCGCAACAATAATCCCAACTACCGTGTTCACCTTGTTCGATTTCGCAAGACCAAAATCCAGTAATTTCGTTTCGTTGACAAACAGTGGCGTTTTTGCAAGGATAACCATTTACCGTGTACCGTTGAAACGTGGAAAGCTCTTTCGCTAATCGATAAAATCCAGAATCGAGAAAAATAATAATATTCGTTGATCGATCTCGCAAAAAATACGTTTTGTTACTTACAGCGATGAAACGTGAAATCACGTTCGAAACCGGTAGAGCCGTATAGAGATCCGTTCTCGATATTATTCGAGTCGTGATCGAAATTGTGTCGATAAGATTCGAATTGAAACTTGGTAGTTTCAGCTCGAGTGGTAGGGTCGCGAATGGCAATTGGAATATCGGCGTTGAACGGATGAACCTGCGGCCTCGATCGATTCGATGTCGTGAACCAATATGGACGATCGTGTTTTTCGAACGCCGCAGCCGGTGTAACGTTTATCGCGTGAAAATGATTCGTCGGTACGCTGCAATACGGATCAAAATCTTTCCACGAGTATAGCAGATGGCCATTGTCGTAAACATAGTCCAGATTTGGTCTTAGATCTTGCATCGATATATCGCTGAACAAACAATTATCTCCGGCGTTGTCGGCGTTTATTCTATAAATAAAATATGTTATAGTACGCGTATGTACTTGATTAATAAATTTATCGCAGCTGACGCGGTACGATGTGCTTAATACGAGAGGTACATGCAAAGTATAAGGTGTAAGATGTAAGATACGTATAAGATACTCGCATATAATTGAAAGACATGCAAGGCGTTGCGGCTGTGTTTCTCGTTGTCGAACATCTTTGTTGGCACTCTGGTTTCGTGATAGTCCTCGTCGAAGATATTATCGCATGAGGCATTAATTTACATGGCCTGTGATGCTCGAAATAACAACGCTCATCCGTACGAATCGACGACGATTCTTCGGTGTTACCGGGTGAAAGGATATTCGACGTCGACAACGGGAACGAATACGAATGCGGATGCTTTTCGCGATCGTAAGGAAAGCTGTTTCGCTCGTATAATTCGGCCCCATCCATGTCGAACATATCGACGGGATTGATTTGTTCCGAAGACGAATCGGTCAAGAAACAATTCGGAGGTTCGCGTTCGTCGACTCGGCTACGATGTTCCGATTCTGTCGCGTATTTAAAAACGAGACTTTTGCAGACAAACTCTTGGGACCTTGTACACGCGAACTGACATTCTCCCAAATCACCAACGAACAACAATTGTTTCGTGATATCAGTGGGAATGGCGTATCCGCTTCGAATTCTTGAGAAACACTCTTCCGAAGGGTGCAGGTTCGTCGAGTGTTTCGAATAGCGAATCTTCTTTGGATCTCGTATAAATATGTAACTATTGTAATCGCGATCAGGTTCAATATCTGTATAAAAATTGATATTTTGGTAGGAGAGATCGCTTAATAAACAATTATCGGTCGGATCGGTAATTAACGCGTGGTACCTGTACGAAGTAAAGTGAACATGAAATAACGAATTAACTGAAAGTGTTTTAGGTGTCGGTTAATTTTCTGTTGATCGACGACCGTCGTCTCTAGGTAGATACGGAGGAGCGAAATTTACCTGTAAGCGAAACTTTCGCAAGGGAAGTCTGTTTCGTTCGTACACAGTTGTTCGCATTGTTCGAAATCGTGCGTCAAGCAAGTTTTTCGTAACACGTTTCTGCTCAATTTCGAACCGGTGATAGTTTTGATCGAACATTTTCGTGTCGTTGATAGCTGATCGCGTTCTTCGTGAACCGATTGCTTTTTAGCGGATACGTAGTTGTCGTTGTATCCGAACGCGTTACCGTAATTCAGATGTCTTCCATCGGGGTATTCGTCCGTGTTCGAAACGGAAAATCTATTTTGTCCGAACAGAAGTCGATTTTCGAGTCGAGGTTTAATCGAACTCGGAGATCTTGCGTCCGAGTAAGATACTTTATCGTAATTTACAGGATATTCGGGAAACGTATCGTGGTCGACGAAATCAGGATAGTGATTTTGAAAACGTTGTTTCCAGTTAACGTTCCGGTTTCGAGTGTTTTCCTGGGGAATGAAACCTACGAAACAACGCGAAATTTCTCCTCTTTTATCTAGATATTTTATCGGGGTTTATATGTTAATAGTTTGAACATTTGTTAAAAGAAAAAGGACGAAGAAAGCAGGAAACAAGAGGAGTAGATGAATATATCGCTAAATACTAAATATATACTTTATATACTAAAGTTATCTTACCGAGAGAATCCTCGTAATGGAATTGTTGGAATCGTGCGGGTCCGTAATCGAGTTCACGATTCGGTGTATGATGATCTATCGCGGACGACGATACATGGTAACGATCTTCGTTCGCGTTTTTCGCGTTCAACCACGTTTCCGGTTTAGTCCGCTCGTAATGTTCAGAAGGATCATTCTTCCAGCGCGATCCATCGTCGAATTGCGTCGAAGGCAGACAATTCTGTTCTCTCTCGTAATAATCGTAGTCGGTGTCAACTAAGAAATCGTCGTCGGCGTCCATGCGAGAATACGAAGCCGACGTCAATTCGCACGTACATCGGGAATCGTCCGTTCCGTGTCTTTGAACAGCGAACGAGCAAAGCAAAGTTAGCATTTCTTCGTTGCTTTCGTCCAATTAATTTTTGTTCCGACGATTCGTTCGTTTCCGCGAATATTCCAATATTTTACGCGACACGCGTTAACCGTCGCGCGCCCGTTCGATCGACGCAACCATTTTCTATCGATGAAAGAACGGGAATCGTTCGTTTATCAGGAATATAGACAGAGAACGTTAAAAGCAACGAAGATCGGTTTCGAAGATCGATCTCTAACGCGACAGAGCACGACACGACACGGTTACGATACGAGAAAACGCGATCTCGGGCCATAGAGTCATGTTGCACGTACTGCATACCTGTGATTAAAACCTCTGCAAACGAAAGATTTTTCGTAAGCACAAGCCCGACAACAATCTTGAAGCTTCTCGCAATTTATCACACGTTCAGCGAGTAGTTTTACCATCTTCTTGCCAGCTTGTATTTTCCGATGACAAATTCTAACTAAATATTTAAAAACATGTTCGTTAGATTAATATTACCGTATGACAGTAAATGTATATTATAGTTACGATTAAAGCGTAAAATAAATTAGTACGAAACGACAACATTTTACACTTGTCATAGTAATGAACGCATAAATGCTTCCTTTCTGTGCGTGCGCGTGTCTCAAATTTATACATCCTTTCGTTCGTACACTTACGAGTGAACTCGTTGTCGTTAGTTTTCCTCGTCGTCGTTGAGTTTTCAATTTTACAAAGAATAACGAACAATACAACGTTCCACAACCACGATTTTTTAAACATGTCTTTTTTCGTAGTCGACTTTCGATTATCACGATTTACACGGTTCGATTAGAGAGCACTTCCTTTTGGGCTACGCGTAAAAATATTTCCAACTTCCGGATCATTAGTTTACTCCATCGAGCTTATCGGTATTCGAGCAGTTAACTTTTGCGGATTTATCAACGAACATTGTCCCGTCGAAACGAGTATACATGCATATATGGCGAAGCGCGATCGATGGAATGGGGCGACAGCGGCTAATGTCCAAGATGGAAAAACGCGCAAAAAGTAATGGTGAAATTGTAGTCCCGCTTGATTTTATAGAAGAGTGAACGTTTCCGTGAAACTAGTGGGAGGATCTGTTCGTTAAAGCCGAGAAGGGGGTATTGAATCGGTAAAATTTGTAGACAACGATTAGCGGCTCTACGCTATATGATCATCGTTGTCGACGTATCGCGTACATTTTTCTTATATTTCGCTGATATGTCGTATTAAAATAACAATATTAACGTTCTCGTTGTTATTATTACTAAGACCTGATACGATATTACTGAATTGTCGGTTGTTGTAAGGATGATTCGAGAAAAGGTGACGTAAAAGTAAAAAAGCCATTTCCGATTTACAGATATTTTCGGACAATAATCGTTGCAGTTGTCGTAGCGAGACTTCTTGTAAGATACGCGCAACGGTACGTACATACTCGCGTAAACGTAGATGTTCCTATTGACTAACGATCGCTTATTCGTGTCAATGCCGTTCATTTACTAACCTACGATGATTGGACGAAGCTTATTTAATCAGCACGAAATAAATAATTGTTTACGTTAATTTTTTTTTTTATCGAAAGAAGAACGATGAAAGGTGAGCGAGCTAAATGCGATTACGGGTGTAAACGTAAAAGTTTTTTCCGCTCGAAATTATGCGTATCTCGATATGTATTTGACAAGTGCATACGCGTGTGTCGAATGCGAACATAAAATCGTAGGATAAGCAACAATTTAGGATCGTATTCGTCGGTTTGCCGAGCAGAGAAGAAAAACAATCGAAAGAGGAGGAAAGAATAAGTTGGCTAAAAGATTATTCTTTGGAACAAGGTTCGTTCGTTTTTTCTTTCGATGAATAATTTCAGTTTCCGCTAAACCATGTATCGACGTAAGTACGTACACGTATACTTATTTACATGGACTCACCGAAAAGACTGCTCGATGCTGTTCTTTCATTTCTATTCGCAAGACTGTCTAGAATTCTATTACGACTGTCGTCACCGGAAAGAAAACGTCCGTGGTGATTGATAGATTGATCATAGATACCGAGAAGTTTGTAATTTGCCGTGTCTTCTCTGCTTCTTGAAATATTAAAGAACACGTACATAAATACAGAGATATTCCTTGATTTACCTTTAACTTTTTTACTTTTGTAAATCGCCTACGGTGAATGATAAAAAAACGATTTTACCAGAATAAGTAAATAGACGCGAAAACAAAGAATTTCGAAATAAATACGTAAGCAAGTACGGTACAGTTTGTGAAATAGCGAAATAAAAGAATAGTGTTACCTGGAAAGTGATTTGGCGTTAATCGGTGGTACAGATAGGAAAAAAGGCCATGGTATGAAGGTTGACGAGGTACCGTTAGTATTTGCGACGTTCTGTTCGTTACTCGTTTCATCGGTTTTAGTTAAACGAGCTCCTGTTTCTGATCTAAAGCTTCCGTAGAGGTAGTCGGAATCGCACTGTGGCGAAATCCATTGCTTTTTCACGTAAACGTCGTAATCTGGATGAGTCGATAAATTTTCAAACGGTGGTGTTCGATCGGTGATCGAACAACTACCGTTACCTTTTACGCCGACGCTAATGGGAAAGCAAATAATGATAGACATTAGTTGGCCGAAGAAGAATTCGTGCGTCTTTTCGACGTGTCGCGACTCTATATAATCGCGGAATATTTCTCCTACCCAAATGAAAATGCTTCGCAAACGTTTCCAAGTTTCGAACACTGTTCTTCGCATTCCGTTAAACTGCTTGCAGTCGATTGAAACGTAACGTCCGTATCGGCCAATTTCGAACCGATCGATATCCTCCTATAACAATCTAAGACAAATATGTACGTATTGTTTAATTGTAAAATGTGTGTCTCGTGCCGTTTCTTTTACGATTACGCGATTTCAACGCGTTTCATTCAAAGGATTACCATTGGTAACGATTGCTAGACGATTATCGATCGTCAGACAAGGGAATCGTGAACATCGGTAGAGGACATTGACGACGTAAAATAAAGTCGATAAAAATGTACGATGTTCTCGTTGTCCGAGCATTTCGGTGTCATCGATAACGATCCGTCGCCCTGACCGAACCAACTTCACCGGTTAGTATACGCGTACAAATCAACTTTTATCGATATTAGATCAACTTCTGAAACGCGATGGTTTTCGCCGTGTTCGATCAAGTACTATTAAAACGGAACACTTGGCCGACGAAATTTCATTGAATATTCGATGATCCGGACTTGACTGAGGATACCATCGAGCGGCACTACTCTCTTATACAAAATGTAAAGAGAGCTCTCCAAAGCCGGTTGCGATTACGTTAGAACCGTTTCTCTGTTCGTTACTTCTCCTACCCTCGTGCCTCTACATCTATTCATAGACATAAAGAAACTCTTGGAGCGTACATTCGCAGCATATTGTTCTTCAGCTTGGTAATGAGTATAACGCGATGCTCGAACGACAGATACCTTTGTTCGTTAGGCGCGTTCGATTCAGAGTCACGGACTCGATCGCACCGATTCGATCAATCCTAATAACAAAATCGCGTGACACGACTTTAGTGCGAAACTACTCGAAACAAGAAAAAAAAGATAGGAAAGAACTTCGTGATCGAAGATTGTAGAGAGAAACGATTGAAACGTATCGAGGTTCAACCGATTAACGATTACTCGATATATTAATCATTTTCAATGGTCGCGCGCGGCTTTCTAGGCATTTCTAGTTCCGTTTACGAATTATTCCAAATGCATCGAATCGCCACGGTTTCGAACGTACTACGTGGAACGGTACTAAAAGGATACTTACGTAACGAGCATAGAATCAGTTAAACGTAAACAACAAAGCTAGGACGTGTCACGCTTCGCGAAGCCGGGCCCTCAAGAAAGAGTGACTCATTCCGCGATTATCTTTGTATACTCGCGAACACGAAACTCCACTAATCGTATCTCCGAAAACTTCCATTCTATTTCTATAAATATTAGAATTTTTCATCGTTCGTGTATCGAATTTATACATACGTCGTCTAATTAATCGCACTGATGATCACTGTGAAGTCGTAGCTAGCGCGGTTCAATGCGTCGATTGAATGATTGCGTTATTAATTGAAGGCACGCATGTTCCTGCTTCAGACTCTTCGTTCTGGCAACGAGAGTCATGCCTCGGTGCAACCAAAAGTGGTGACCTTCAAAGTGGAGGTTAAAGTTAATTGGATAGCAGCTTTGCTCGACGGATTTTCACCGATCCAAAGGTGTAGACAGCCATAACTGTTACACTCTTAAAGGCCCGTAAATACGAGCACAAGATAAATAAAGGACATTGTCCTTTAAATTTTCAAACAGTTGGCAAATATTTTTCATTTTTATTAAAAACATTGCGAAAGTATCGAATACACGAAACTAAAGTAATTATAATAATTTTTTTTATAAAAATTTATGGAAGACGTTCGATGTTACTATTCGCATTGCGAAGTCGCGCGCGTGGTTAAAGGGCATATGCAAGGGGAAAAAACGAGAAACAAAGAACGGAACAAAAGAGTACGAGACTAGCAACACGTATGCGGTCTTTCGGGGACGCCAAGATTTTCAGAGCACTCCTCGGAAGAGGGCGTAACGGACGCGGCTGTACCGTTCCAAATCGGATTGGTTGATTCGTATATTTTGATGGACATGGAATCCTGTTCGGTCGAAGCTAGCCTGAGAAGTCCCATACCGATATCTAAAAATACGTTTTCGATCCCTTCGTCTTGAAGCACCGATGTTTCGTGATAACTCGCACCGATATTCGTCGCGTAAACTCTACCCTCTTCGGCGTCGACCTGCCGTTCTTTTATCAAATCCGACTTATTTCCGATTACGGCCAACACCATAGCATCCTCGACGTTTCTACGAAGTTCGGTTACCCATCCTTTCATTGCCGCGAACGTGTTGTACTGGGTCAAATCGAACACTAACATAGCCGCGTTGGCGTTTCGATAGTACATAGGTGCCATTGATCTGAATCTTTCTTGCCCTGCTGTGTCCCAGACCTGCGAACAGTAGACGATTCTATTATTCTTATATTTCGTTAGTATGCTGGTTGACGATTCACAAAAATTGCGACGATCAGACGACAAATTTACGATTAGTTTTCGACTTATTTCACCGATAGAATTGTATCCGTTACGTATCCTTAGATACGTTTTTATACGACTGAATGATCGCTATACCTGTAACATTATTTTCACGTTTTCCACGTTCAATTTACACGTAAAGAACGATGCACCTATCGTAGGATCGACGTGTTCGTTAAATGCTTTTCCAACGTAACGGATAATCATACTTGTTTTTCCAACCCCTGAAACCAATCAATTGATCAGAGTGCGTATCTGGTCTATATAAAAAATGTGGAACGGAAAAAGGTTCGAAACAATTGAAATATTTACCTACATTTTACTAACAACACGATAATTTAGAAAATTATTCAGTTCCGCTTTACACGCCTGCGCTTACGGGTAGACACGTTTAACAAAGACATAAATAGTTATACATACAGTACTTGTACATGCACATGTCTATACAATGGTTTGCGAGTTAACCTAACCATCGACGACGTAACGATTTTCTATTAAACAGTATTATGAACAGCTATAAGAATAGAAAGAAAATATCGCGCAATAAACGAGTAATTAGCGAATATAGTACGAGTAAATAAAGCTAAGAAAGTGGTATTGCTTCCTGCAACGAGCTTATTGACCTTAAACTATAACTTACCCTGTGATCCCAATGCGACTACCTTTCCCTCGACGATTTTCATCTTCTACGCGATAACACGATACATAACCAAGCGTATTCCATTTCTTTCCTTGTTCGTTAGACAACTGATCGAATAAAGATGCCACGTACACTTTCGAATGCCATTTCTTGTTTACAGTGTCGTCTGTTGTAGCCGTGATTGTCGGTAACATCGTAAGTAAATACTCGTAGTACCGAAACTCTGTGAAAGATGGCGAATACTAACGGACGATCGTTGCGACATCTATGGAAGGTCACCGTTATTAACTTTCGATTGTTCGACCGCTGCGCTGCAACGACCATTTAAATTAATGCGCGTACTATTATTTTCCTGTTATTTTCCGGTGTGTGAAATCCTTTTACTTAAAAAACGATGCGTTAATCGAACTCGAATGTATTATAGAATACCATCGAATTATTTCAGTAGGTCTTTTCGAAGGTTGAAACGTAGCTAATGTTACGTTTATGAATAATGTCATAAATTGGCAGTGGTTATTTAAGCAAACGATCTTCGTGGACGCGAACGCGTGCATCGGCGAAACGTAACGCTCTCATACAGAAACTGTTAATAAGAAGTTAACGAATGAAAATTAAAGTTTTGAAAAAGTAAGTTTTGTAATCGCGGCAATGTTATGATCCGGCAGCGAGCCTTTATCGAGGTTTCTCAAGGTCCGTGGAAAGGAGTGGAAAGTAAAGGGTAACGGCAAAAGACATCGTTGATTTCTCTTTCCGTTTTCCTATCCGTTTTCTCGTCGATGACGGAACAACTTGGACTTTCTCTCGCTTGGCAGTAATCGACGAACAGTTAAATGATAAGCAAAATGAACGAACGACTCAGCAAATTGCGAGGGAACCAAACGGGGATAGGAAAGAAAGAAAAGAGGGGAATACAGAAAAGGCACGAAAAAGTGAATGAGCGAGTGGATGAGAGGTGTTGAGAGGAGGGCGAGGCGGGTGGACGGAGAGGAAAAGGAAGAGAAAGGGGAGAAAGGGAGAAAGACGTGTGGGAAGGGGGAAGAGAAAGAGCGAGTAGTCTCTGGATGCTGTATTTCCGTTCCTCATCAGTAGTCAACATTGCGTGGAGATCTCGTTCGATTCCTTGCAGTGTCGGATGGTAACTAACGACGGAAGAACGTGAAATGTGGTTCGAATACCGTTCACGATCGAACGCGTGATATAATTTCGTTTTCCGAGTGGATATTTCGATGAACGGACGGTATCGTTGGTGAACCGGTGGAAAAATCGTAACGAGTCGCGATATCGAGGAAAGGATATCGTGGTTGTACTTATTCATCCGCGACACCTACAAAGGATAGTACACTCTCTCGTACGAGAGTGTTTCGACGAACCGAATGATTAGCGAGTCAAATCGTCGTTGTCAAAGTCGAAAGTAACCGGCTAACTTTCACTAATAACCAGAGGTGTAACGGTACGGTTTCGCGCGTACGTCGTGCGTCGACGAAACGCAGCGAACTGCTAACGACAAGAACGCGTTACGAAGCGACAAGCGACCACGCGAAGACGCGATGTGCCACTTGTCTCGGTGACCTGGTTCTCCGACCCACTTTTCTACCTAACCACGCTACGTGTGAACGCGTTCGCTACGCCTCGCGAGTTCTTACGGTACAACGAATCGGACGAGCTTAACTCGACGAGCAGAATTTCAGACAAACTCCGTCCGTATTTTTTCTGATAAATTTCTAATTTCGATGTTTTACTCGTAATCCCCTCCTTCTTCGCACGCGTATTAGTGTACGGTTTTACAAGAGTCAACGAACGGTTGACCGTTCGATGATCAGCGTTTGCTTTGGCCAACGTTAACGAAAGAGAAATGGAGTCGAACGATGTTTCGCTTAAAACCGTATTATACTTTTTACACGCATCGAGGAAAATCAACAATCGATTTATGGACGATGCATCGCCAACCGAACTTGCTGCTGCGATTTCGTTCAAATAAGTACTTTCAATTATCGTTAAATCGTTGTCGCGGAGCTGTATTATAACGATACAATTAATCTATTAGAAGATAAAAGAAATAAGGCGGAGGAGGAGGGGGAGAAGGAGGAGGAAAAGTGGAAGAAGAAGAATTGCGTGTAAACTGAAAGGGATTTGAAAGGATCGAAGAAAGGAAAGAAATGAATTCATTTGTACGTTCGTTTTTTATTCTGTTTCTCGTTAGTCCATATCGTCGAACCAACGGAAGGAAAAATGATCGGTATTTGGAGAATCTCGGTGAGTCTGTTAATCGAAAGGAACTAAGTTAGATATGTATCGTAAAAGCGATGCGAGATATTCGTCGAGTGCATCGATTATTATTTCGTTAGATAGAATTTTCTAATACGATCGCGTCGTTCGGTTTTAGGTTTTGCGGACAGAGAAATTGCAATGGAAAATGCGATCGATTCGGAAGGACAAATGAGATTTTTCGACGAACTTGGGTGTAAGTTTCATTTCATCGTAAGATACCGTGACGATAAAACGTGGATAATTTGCATCGATGCGCTTACGGTAAACGTATATCGCGGTACAAGTTATTAGTTAAATTCGAAAGGAATATTCGTTTATCGTTTGTTCGTTCGTTCGTTCGTCCGTTTATTCGTTCGCGCTGTTATCGTCTACCCTGTATCTGTTTCGTCTACGAACACGTTCGTTCGCTGGATTATCCATCTATCTGTCTGTTCGTTCGTTCGCTGATCGAGTCATCTAGTTGTTAATCCAGAGCGTATATACATATTTGTTGCGAGCGATTTACCGAAGCATGCACTGGCACGTTATCGCGATTCGAAATTGATGGAATTTTCGTTTAGAATACGATGTATCGTATCATGGTCGAGGAGAGGAACCGATTTAATCGATTGCTCGTGATTGGTACGAAAGACGCGAAAGGAAATGATAGGAAGCAGCATAGCCGAAAGGAGGACTTATAAAAGGAGAACGGCAGCGAAGAAAGAGGAGAAAGAAGAAATAGTAGCGTTGTCGAACGGGTTGCGAGGAAAGGGGTAACGAAGAAAGCAAAGGAGACGAACAAGCGAATAGGTGGGGAGCGGGGAGCCAATGCAAGGAAAGACGCGACATCGTAGTAACGAGAAAGCTGGTGTCGGTGAAAGCCGCGAACGCTTCTTTAGATGCCGATACGATCCCGTCAGTCGGCGAAACACCGTCGATTCGTGGTTGTTTGCGCGGTCGGGAGAATTTCGAGAAATCGCTGCTACGAAGAAAACGACCACGCATGGTTGCTATCGGTATCATAGGATCGTCTATTTTTCGAGCGACGCTAATTATTATTGAAATCGCCTTCGAAGGATACGCGGTTTTCGAAGAATCGCTCGATCGATCGAGGATCAAAGAATGTTGGACGTCGGCTCTCTGTGCACGTTCGTCGGATTGTCATCAGGGATGAGCGCGAGTTTCGAGGATATCGAGAAAATTTGATTTCCGATCGACGCGCCTTGTTCGAGAATTCCTAGAACGACAGAGTCTTTTACGCGTAATTATGATACGAGTTGTGACCATTTGCCCGTTCGTGTTCAATTTATACGAATAACTGCTGAGATATTCGGATCATGAACGTCGTTGTCGCTATCGCGCACGTGTTTCTAATTGCCAGCACTCGTTCATTCGACTACGATAACTACGGTACACTGGCGTACGATCGTTCGCTGCATCCTTCTTCGTCCGCGTCCTCGTTTTACGGCTGGTTCTCGAGATTACGAACACCCGAACAACTAAATGGAAGATCAGACGAGTTGAAAGTTGGCGGTGGCGGTACCGACGCCGGTGCCGGTGTCACGAGTCCTAGCGAACCAGAAGGATTATCGTTTAATTCAAAAGTTAAGCAAGCGCAGGATTTGTCGAACGGCGATAACGTGTTCGGTAGCAAGAAGGTGCGATTCGACGTATCGTTAAGAGGGATCGATGCGCGAAAGCCTTCTGTCTCTAAAGAAAATTCGTGGAACGAGAGCCACGAGGACGATGGAAGGTCTCGAAATGTGCGAATGTTTCGTCGACGGACGGGGTTCGCCGGAAACAAGAATCGGCAAATCGACCAAGATAAATTGACTCGTTTTACTGTAACAAGTTTGACCGAGGACGTCGCGATTCGAGAACACGTAAACCGAGCTACCGAGAACGAGGAAGGAAAACGCGTAGCCGAACAAGGCGCTAGAGGCGACGACGACGAGAGAATTCGACAAACGCGGCGGTACGTTAACGATAGTATTCGTTCGGACGATAGAATCGAAAAGAGACAAAGTCTACGAAATTTCCTTGATCTGTTGAGGCGAAGAACGAATAACGGCGAATTCGAGGAGTCGGTGGTAACGAGTTACAGAGAAGGACGAGGAAGAGGAGGAAAACTGAATAGTCAGCAACAGGGCAACATCCTCGTCGAAGCTCTTAGGAAGAAACGAAATTACACCGAGGATCATCGAGGTCATAACAGTGATCTTCAAAATAGCATAATGGATATGTTGGGTAGAAGTACGTTTCACGCACTAAAATGACAATCAAGATCGGTGGTATATCGATTCGAAGATCTTTATAGATTCGAAACGATCGCGAAATCATCTAATGCGAATAGCGGATAACGAGTAGCGACGAACGATCAATGATCAACGATCGACGAGAAGAATGAATCGCTATACGACGCTCGCAATTCCAAGTTCTAGGATAGTCGTTTAACTTTCTTGCTCGATCTTCTGGTCGCATCGTGCGTTGGTTTCGCGATTTCACTTATGAAATCGTGATTCGAAACGAAAGCAACCGAGCGTTTATCTCGGCAAACAGACCGAAAGAGAGCAGCGGGTAAGACGGTGCCGCCTGACGAAGCAACGCGCGACGTACGGTACATTACGTATCAACGTACATACAACCGACGACGACGACGACGACGACGACGACGACATTGACGCGACGTCGATGTTTTTCTTTGCGTTTACGAATAACTTGTACATAATATATTTAAGTATACAAAATGTATATTATACACAATGTATAAGTGTGCGATACGAAACGAGGAAACGACCGATGATTTTTGAATGATTTCTTGAAGACAGTTTGTATATGCCGCGTTTTTGATTCGATAATTGTATCGCGTTTCGTTTCAGTGATACCGCAAACGTGTACCTATAAAGGGACGACTTTTGATTGCGGTCTCAGTATCAGTTGCGTTCTGGGAGGTGGTCGCCCGGTCGATCTGTGTTCCGGAGGATTGATTTGGAGTTGCTGCGTCGACGACGATGACATACCTGAAAAAATACCACGGCCATCAACGGGCTTGCTACAAAACGCCAGTAAGTACAGTTTCTCTTTCGAAGGAAATGAAATTTCCCTTTCCGTCTTCTTTTTCTTTTTCTCCCTCTTTCTTTTGTTCACCTTGTTGTCGGATCGTCTTCTCCTTGGTATTCGACTCGAAATAATTTTCAACTTTCGATTCGCGTCGTTCGACGACGAGCGGATTGTAAGCAACGTAGCGTAAGCGTAATTTATCGATAAAAGGAGATAAAATGCCGGTTGTTTGAACGTAGCGCTTTCGCTAAACTTGGGAAACCAGCATCCGTACGTGGATGACGACGTTCGAGTGTACGAGAACGCGGCAAGACCGAGCAAACCGACGTATACCGGTCAGAACGGACACGGGCCGGGCTACCTGTATGCCGTCGACGTCGCGAACAAGCCGACAACGATCATGGCAGCGACGACGACGACGACGACGACGATGACGACCGTGTACGAGTCGTCGCAAACGTGGAATTACGATCGGCCCGCGCACGGGAACCGTCCCTCGCTTTATCATCCGTTTCAACATGATTATGCGCAGGCCGAATACGATGCTAATTATCCTGACGTTTCGGGGCTGTACGCGCTGAACCAGGACGTTTCTAATTCCTTGGATTATTCGAAATATCGTGGTAATCCCTGTCGAATCGCACGGGTCACACGGATCGCATGGATCGCACGGCTCGCATGGATAGCACCACTCGCACCGATAGCACACGGACTTTCGCACCGATACTAGTATAGTTCGATCTTTCTGTTAACTGTTATTCTTCAAATGTCGTTTACGCCATGTTACGTTATTTCGTACGCGTAACGCTGCTTGGATGCGCGAGGAGCACGCTCTCGGCTAACGAATAAATATTTCCGAATCACTTTCCTTATCTGTGGCGCGTGTGCGACGAAAAACGGAAAAAGACAGGAAATAGTCTATTTCTCTGTCTCTCTCTTTGTCCCCTCCGTTTGATTTTTCTACTCCGGTAATTTGCACGTTCTTCCGTGGTGGTTTTGCCATCGTTGGTGACAGAACTGATTAGAAAATAAGTACGAGAAGACAAAGACTGTAAAAGGAGGAAGAAAGACGGAGAAAAGATAGAAAGGGAAAGGAGAAGACAGAACGCGGTGCGTGTTCGATGTTAGGCGATGTTAGTATAATAGATCGATTTGGTTATCGAAATCCTTGCTCTTGTCTCTTTTCTCCTTCGGTCGAAAAAAAACTGATATGTTTCTCGATTTATAAAATAGTTTTCTTTGCACACGATTTTTCTTGATATCCTCTTGCAGGTTGCGGTGAACTTTATACGAGAAGTAACAGAATCGTCGGTGGACACAGTTCCAGTTTCGGTACCCATCCGTGGCAAGTAAGTAATATCAACTATTTTTCACGTTACTCTTTGTACTCACCGTTCGCGTTTCAGGCTGCCATTATCAAGTCGGGATTTCTCAGCAAGAAATTATCGTGTGGCGGTGCTTTATTGAACAACAGATGGGTAGTTACCGCAGCTCATTGCGTCGCAACGTTAGTATTTAGCGACCGTGTACGAGTCGTCGCAAACGTGGAATTACGATCGGCCCGCGCACGGGAACCGTCCCTCGCTTTATCATCCGTTTCAACATGATTATGCGCAGGCCGAATACGATGCTAATTATCCTGACGTTTCGGGGCTGTACGCGCTGAACCAGGACGTTTCTAATTCCTTGGATTATTCGAAATATCGTGGTAATCCCTGTCGAATCGCACGGGTCACACGGATCGCATGGATCGCACGGCTCGCATGGATAGCACCACTCGCACCGATAGCACACGGACTTTCGCACCGATACTAGTATAGTTCGATCTTTCTGTTAACTGTTATTCTTCAAATGTCGTTTACGCCATGTTACGTTATTTCGTACGCGTAACGCTGCTTGGATGCGCGAGGAGCACGCTCTCGGCTAACGAATAAATATTTCCGAATCACTTTCCTTATCTGTGGCGCGTGTGCGACGAAAAACGGAAAAAGACAGGAAATAGTCTATTTCTCTGTCTCTCTCTTTGTCCCCTCCGTTTGATTTTTCTACTCCGGTAATTTGCACGTTCTTCCGTGGTGGTTTTGCCATCGTTGGTGACAGAACTGATTAGAAAATAAGTACGAGAAGACAAAGACTGTAAAAGGAGGAAGAAAGACGGAGAAAAGATAGAAAGGGAAAGGAGAAGACAGAACGCGGTGCGTGTTCGATGTTAGGCGATGTTAGTATAATAGATCGATTTGGTTATCGAAATCCTTGCTCTTGTCTCTTTTCTCCTTCGGTCGAAAAAAAACTGATATGTTTCTCGATTTATAAAATAGTTTTCTTTGCACACGATTTTTCTTGATATCCTCTTGCAGGTTGCGGTGAACTTTATACGAGAAGTAACAGAATCGTCGGTGGACACAGTTCCAGTTTCGGTACCCATCCGTGGCAAGTAAGTAATATCAACTATTTTTCACGTTACTCTTTGTACTCACCGTTCGCGTTTCAGGCTGCCATTATCAAGTCGGGATTTCTCAGCAAGAAATTATCGTGTGGCGGTGCTTTATTGAACAACAGATGGGTAGTTACCGCAGCTCATTGCGTCGCAACGTTAGTATTTAGAGACCGCTGGTGAAATTCGAGAAACAATCAAACAGTAAGAATTTGACGCGAACTTTCTAATAACGGTAAGCGATTTTTCTGTCGTGTAGGACACCGAACGGTAACCTAAAAGTACGTCTTGGCGAATGGGACGTAAGGGACTCGTCCGAACGATTGCTGCACGAAGAATTTAACATCGAAAGAAAAGAGGTAAGGCTAAACGCGTGGTATTGGTACAGCATGAAAAGTGTGCGATACGAAAGAAGACCAGGAAGCTCGAAAGAAAAGGAAAGTCGAGTAACGGGAATAGAAACGGATAAAAGAACGAGAACTAGAACGAATCGGACAGATTTTTCGATGAACGATCAATAAACGTTACAGGTTCACCCGCAATACTCGCCGACCGATTTTCGGAACGACGTGGCATTGGTGAAGCTTTCGAGAACGGTAGCGTTTAAACAACATATCGTGCCGGTATGTTTGCCAGCGAAAAATCTTAAGCTTTCTGGACGCACGGCGACAGTTGCCGGCTGGGGAAGAACCAGACACGGACAAAGTTCGGCACCCTCGATTCTTCAAGAAGTCGACGTTGAAGTACGTACAAATATCTCCCTTCGTTATTTACTCTGTTATTTTTTTTTTTTTTCGTACGTTTCTACTCGTTTTCACTCGATTGACGGAACATTCGGTAATATCCAGGTAATTCCCAACGAACGATGTCAACGATGGTTTAGGGCAGCTGGAAGGCGCGAAACTATTCACGATGTTTTTTTATGCGCCGGTTATAAGGAAGGTGGACGAGATTCTTGTCAGGTAAATTAATTGGTTCTCCTCGATTTTCCTCGGTAACGATGAAAGTAATAAATGTCTATAAATGTGTTGTGCTTGCGACAGGGGGACTCGGGCGGACCGTTAACCATGTCGGTCGAAGGGAGGCACGTGTTAATCGGTCTCGTGTCCTGGGGTATTGGATGCGGTCGCGAACACTTGCCTGGCGTCTACACCAATATTCAGAAATTTGTGCCGTGGATCGACAAAGTTATGAGTTAAGTTCGATGCAATGTGAACGACGACACAACGATACGAAAGAATATGAAAATTTGTCAAAAGTTTTTGCGATCGGTCTCCTACATAGATCGGGTAGAGATAAATCAGATAAAATTTTTCTGCGACCGTTCAAATAATTTTCTAAACGAGTTGAACTGTTCAACGATCAACGGAATAAAGTTCCCTTGATTCGAAGTTGCTCCGTTGTATCGAAGGAACCTACGTTACCGAGAACGATTTCTGAGATTATCGTTGCTCGGTACGTGTTGCCGATTATTTTCTGCAGCGATGCGCCGTTAACGCGTTAACGAGAGTAAGAATTTATTTCGGAGAAAAAAAAGAAGAAAAACCGTGACCCGTAACGGTTAGCGGTATTATTTAAACAGTTACGCGCGACGAACGTTATCGTGGATTCGAATGAAACTCGGTCGGTACGAACGGGAATGACAAATTCGGGGGGATAAGAGGCCGCTGCAAACGGAACGAAACGTTAAATCGTGATTATCGATCGAATAGTCGCGTTGTTTCATCAGGTTTTAGTAGATTTTTCTCGGCAAACAACGAGACGATCCGAACGGACAATGCTACTAGAACGGAAGATGATCGATACGATAGAATATCGGTAACCTCGAATAAACGGTAAGAATAACCAGAAGGATAAGCTGGTTGCTTTGCGGCCAGATGAATGGGTTAAACGGGGTAGGATGACTGGAAGGTAAGTAGTTGGGTGGACGAGTGTGGGTGGTGGACATCCCGTAACTGCGAGGGCATGCCCCCACTCTTAGTCTCGATGAAAGCTTGGCAATCGAGTAGATAGAAGAGAAGGGAAATAGCGAATAGAATAGAAGAGGAGGCAGACGCGAAGCTGCGTGAACCAAAGGGGGAGTAGGTGAAACGTTGAGACGGAGGTGGAAGGTAAGTTGCTAATTAGAGCCAGATTAAACGCTTGTCTGGGGAACCATTTTCCTTGCCGTTCCTCGCCGTGCTCGGAAGAGGATGAGTGCCGAGTGCCGAGTACCGAGTGTCGAGTGCGAACAGCCAGTCGTGCCGTAGCAGAGTAGGGGTAGAAAAAAAGCAAGTAGGCAAGGGTGGCTAAGGCTGTAACGAAGAGGGGATAACTCGACTCCGGTTGGAGGCAGGGCTGGGGCTTAATGAAAAGTGTTTGCCCCGTAAAAGTTAAGATTAATTGGCGCTCGGGGGGTGGTTACCGCGGTAATCAGCCAGTGCCAGTGGTTTTCAAACGTAACGTACTTGTTCCGCGTTGTTGCGTTCTTTGCAATTTCGCCTTTTCGATTCACGGTACTTTTCTTTTTTTCTCCTCGCTTCTTTCCTTTCTCTTTTCCCTTGCCACATTTTCTCCGGTTTAACGATCAATTTATTCGTTTCTATTAACTTTGCTGTTTGTCAAATTATTTCTCCTTTACGAATAAAGCCAATAGTCGAATCTTAGCTTTCCTCGAGCGAACTCCGTTCAGTAAAAGCGATCTTTAATAAGAAAGTTCCGATTTCCTTTTGCGATCGGCGATTTCGATTTCGATTTCGGTTGAGCGTTACTGAAACGAGAAGTTAATTTGGCGACACCTAGTTTCATTAACAACGCCATTAAAAGTAATGGCCGGTGAGGGCTGAAGTTGGCGATGCGGCCACATAGGGACCGGAAGATTCTAATTAGGAGATAGACATCGCACCGAGAATCGAACGGTAACGGTCGAATAGATGAAATTAGAGAGCGAGAAGAAGGAGCGAAAGGGAACGCGACAGAAAATGAAAGCTCTCGAAAAATATGGATAAATCGGGCGTTGATACGCGCGACATGAAATTGCTAGTTAACGATGTTACGATAGCATAACATTGTTCGGACATTGGTTATTAATCGAGCAAGCGACATACTCTATTTTATGTTATCGACTTTAACCAACGTCTTTCGGTTTTCACGTTTCTCCGATACTTTCTGATAAAAAAAGCCTACAACAATTAACAACATTTACATGTACATACACATACACATATATGTATGTACATATACGTATATGTACACGAGGCATCGCGAAATTGATACGCAACACCAATTAAGATATATCTGTAGTCAACGATAACTAATCTTTATCGTCGATCGAGCAATCTTATCTTCCCGATGAAGGCGGATGAATTAACCATCAAATCGTTAATTACATTTGAGTCTGGATAACGAGACTTTAGAAGCGCGGTATTTGTCCTAAATTATTATCAGTGACTGCGCCAAAGTTGCTCGACTGACCGGTCGATATCATATTGAGTAGCTTTGTCTAGATTTCCTAATCGTCGCGACGGAACGACGAAAAGATGTTTCGCATAAATTAGCATTCGTCGAAAAGAATCGTGTATCGATTACGAATCCACGTAACGTTATGCGATATCGCGTTGGTTCGATATTCAGCAGGATATGAAAAATATTTCTGTTGAAAGTTTGGAAGCGTGGCAGGTGCAAGGATCAAGTACGATAGGGTGGAATAGAGTAAAGTAAAAATAAGTTGAGCTTATCGTGACGTAGCATAATCACCGGTTGAAAATCTTGTCGTGTTTACTCGGCAGTCGAGAACGAAAAGGTACTACCTGCGTAAACGAGCGTACGTAGCGGACATTGAACACCGGAGCCGCGTATCATCGTAAAAATCGTTGCGTCGCGCCGCGCCGTTTCGAATATACAAGCGCGTTCCGTTTAAGCCAAAAACATTTCGTTCGCCGGCGTCGAAATTTAATTGGACCGATGGATGCGTTATTAACGCGCGAAATTAACATGGGAAATCGTGGTTACGGGGCGCGTGGGAAGCGGTGATATTTTTCAAAGGTTCTCGCTTTTCGGCGAATCTTGTATTATTTAGCCACCGATGATATCGTGAACGCGTGAAAGCAGAGCTCGTCGGACGAGCCGTGAAAAACGACTAGTCGACTAGTTATGCGCAGGTTGAACGTGCCTCGATTCTTGAGTAAATATCCTTTCGTTCGTATTATTTGGTTAAAAAGCGATGCAGACCAACGGTCTCGTACCGTTTGCCTTTCGACTCGTACCTACCGGATGGGCTACTAGCTATGTAAGGACACGCAACGATTACTATAGGAGAACTCTGCATGGATATCACTAGAAAAACAAGGAGCAACGTAGTTAGAGCGATCCATCATTCTTTCCGGAGGAACCGTCGCGTCGTGTCGCGTAGCTTTATCCTCGTAATCGCGCATCCACCTTACGAAACCGAATTCTATTCCTCTCGACGAAAATCCTAATAAAACGAGAGAAACGAGAGCAGTTTCGATATAAGAAAAGTAACGGTGAAAATAAGAGTAGAAGAAACTGTGAACGTTAGAGGCGAACGCTTTATAAACGAACAGACTTTATCAGCGGGATAAGCAAATGCGTCGTAGGACCCACATCAAATATCGTGGCTGACAACCGATAACAGACCGATTACTCGAAAACTGGGTGTGATTCCTATTACGCGGCTATTAACTGCGCGATAAAGGTATAGAGATATATCGTGAATATTTTCTTCGGAAGATCGCGAGCGAACGTACTTTGTTTCCGAAAACTTGGCGTTGTTGCGAATTCGGATTTCCTTCTTCCATTTCCTCCTTTATTCGCTCCGTATTCGAGATCCGTTGGATTTCCCTCAGATCGGTATTTCATCTTTTTTTACGAAGCGCGTAGCTCTTTCTCCGGTATACTCGTTAACTGCGCGAAACTGTATAGAATATAAGTTCTGGTTTCGTACTACACATCCGTCGCCCGGGGATTGAGGCTGAATACTCGAAGCTTACGTTCGGGATTCGGGGCACTATACTCGTAGCTAAAAGCTCGAAACTCGGCGCAGTTGGTATTCGGTGCTCAGAATCGGGATCGAGAATCGGGAGTCGCGAGTCCTGAATCGTGGATCGTGAATCGGGAATCGGGAATCGGGAATCGGGAATCGGTAGGTAATCGGTAATCGGGAATCGGAAGTTGGGAGTCGAGGCTAGAAACCGATGACATAGTGGAGATTCGAGGATAGAGGGGAATAAAGGGGATGCTCCGTAGGCGTGGCAGAATCGCGAAGTATACCGCGATAGGCGTGGCAGAATCGACTGACCGCGGAAACGCGGCAGCAGAGGGGAGCGGTTTTCCCGTTACGGACACGCGGTTCCTCGCGACGTCACTTTGCGGCGCGGCGTCGAGCTAATCGCTCGTATTGCCGCCAAATCGGAGTCAGTGCGTGTTTGACCGTCCGCGAAGAAAATATTGTTCGAGATTCTACGGTGCTTCGGATACCGCGTTCCGCATCTTTCCTTTAATATTTTGCCTTTCGGTGTTTTCGAAAAGATCGAAAAAACGACTGCGTGCAACGTTCGCCTCGCGTGTCAAACGTTCGCGATCGATCTCGACGAGTAGTATTCGTTTAATTGGCCGATCGGTCGCGGTCGGGCGTGCGGTCGGTCGATCGATCGATCGAATCCCGTACACCGATCGAAAGTCGATCGGCCACCGATCTATCCTCGATCGATGATCGTTCGTTGATACTTCGCCAAGTCAGTGAGCAAAGGCAGCCCAAGTTTCAAGTGGAATCGCGATAGTTGCCTCGAGATTTGCTGGTGTCCGTAGAAAAAAACCACAAATGCGTCAACAACGATCAAGGTAACGATTCAAGAGAGCTCAGGTATGCATTACAACGCGCCAAGTATTTCCGAGGACTCGTATTTACGGCATCGACAACAGGAATATCAGCAACGACAGCGACAAGTCGGTGAACATACAATTTACGTGTACGGTGTTCGGCAAAAAACTCGTGGTCGCAGTTGTTCGCCGAGATTAGATCAAGAAGGATCGTCGGGCAGCATCG